AAGGAGCTGTCACTCACTGCTAAGATCTCTGAGACTGGAATTTTCCTTTAAGCTAGAGAAGGCTCCCTAGGGGACAATACTAATCAGTACTTTTCTGTACAGAGATGGGGAAGTGACCTCAAAGGACTAGTGGAAGAGAATGTGCTGCTGCTAAGCCTGGACACAGAGGATATTGGCCTTTGGGCATTACCACGCATGTCCCACACCCTCATCAGAGCTTAGTGGGCTTTCTCTAGAACCTGCTCTTCCCATCCCGGACCAAAAACCCAGGGAGCATCCAGAAGCCCTGGTCAAGTAACGGCCAACTTCTGTTGTCTCTGCTTTTGTTTTTGCCACATCTTTTATCTGTCCATGAAATCCTGCCCCATGGCAGGCCCACTGACCTTGCTCCTGGATGATGCCTCCCAGGCACGGCCTGTCTGGGGTTTGCCTCCCAGTTCGCATCTGTCTCCAGCCTCCATTGTGTCCCTTAACCCAGAGGTTCTCAATCATGGCACTATCAGTGTTTGAGGCCAGATAATTCTTGGTTGGGGGTGGAAAGGGCTGACCTGTGCATTGTAGGACATTCAGTAGCATCTCTGGCCTCTACCCACCAGATGCCAGTAGCCCTACCACCCAGTTGCCACAACCAAAAAATGTCTCCAGATATTGCCACATGTCCCTCGGGACTTTTATCCCAGCTGCACACTCAAATCACCTGGGAGTGTTTTTTAAAAAAAGATTCACTCTGGGGCCCCCTCCAGGTCAAGTGTTCTGGATTGAACTGTGTCCTCCAAAATAATGTGTTGGGATCCTAACGTCCATACGTGATCTACTCTGATCTAATGTAATGTGATCAAGTCCCATGATGCAATCTAATACAATGTAATCAGTCAGTTAAGGTGGCACCAGTGCACGGTGGATCCTAATCTAATCCTGAGTTACATGAGGAGAAGCCTAGACAGGGACACGTATGCACACAGAGGGATAGGCGGGCTGTGTGAGGAACCCCGCAAGGCAAGAAACAAGGAACACCCAGGGCCACCAACCAGGTGGGAACTGGCATGGTCAAGACCCTGACTGGGACTTTCAGCCCCTGAAAGTGTAAGAAGATAAAAGTCTGTCCCTTAAAGCCACTCACCAGTGGTATTGGTGTCACAGCAGCACCAGGAAGCCAAGAAACCAAATGAATCAGAGTGAGGACAATGCCTTGATCTCAGTCTCCGCAAGAGGGCAGCCAGGACTGAAAACCACTGAGGCCACTGGCCGGGGGTCATCTTCCTGGGCATAAACCACCTCATTTCACTCATCCCAACTGTGACCCTTCAAACAGCTTCTTACTGAACCCAGAAAGCATCCAGCTCTTTTGCAAGGCTTCTGAGGCCCTCCAGTTCCAGGCCCTGCTTACCTACTAGCTTTTCCATCCAGCAGTCCCCTAACCCACCTCCACTCTGGGCAGCACTCCTAGCCTCCTGAGTCCCCAAAACACCATGCTGTTTCATAATGCCATGCTTTGCCTTTGCCTAAAATGTCACTCCCCATCCCACCCTCCTAGCTAAAAAACTTACTAACTTTTGTACCTGGACTCAGCTACACACCCCCTTATGAAACTTGTCCTGATTCCCCCACCCCAAGTACAACAGACCACTCCCTCCTTTGCATTACATAAGAGCCAAAGTGCAAATACCAAACCAGTCCTCAAGTTGGTTCTGACTCTTGGCGGCCCCATGTTTTGAACAACCAAAACCAAACCCACTGCCATCAAGTCAATTACAACTCATAGAGACCCCTATTGGGTTTCTGAGGCAGTAAATCTTTATGGAAGTAGATTGCCCAGTCTTCCTTCCATGGAGTTGTTAGTGGGTTTGAACCACAACCTTCTGGTTAGCAGTCAAGTGCCTTAGGCACCATACCACCAGAGCTCCTTCTGTGCTCTATATATATCCTCTAAAAATGTCTGCCACAACCAACGGAACACTTTATAATGCTTCTTTATATGTCAGCCTGTTTCTACCAGACTCGACGCTCCCGGAGGACAGGGGGCTGGGCCTTGGCAGACAAGGGCTCCATATGTCTGTGCACTGAATGAAACAATGACAGCCAGCAGCGGATCACATGCTCTGTCCTGTGCTCCTCAACGTCTCTCTCTGTACTTCCTTCCCAAACAGAGACACGACAGCAGCCACACCAGAAACCCAAGGACTCCAACGAAGCGGCTCTCTATGAGGCCCCAAAAAAGTCACAGCCATGGTCAAGCCCAAGGGCACTGGCAGCAGATACTGGCTGTGATGGTGATCTGGGAATCACGGAAGGGGGTTGGGAACCCATCCAACCTCCCCACTCCCCATCCCTTGCCAGAGGCCACAAGAGATCCAGCACTCCTCAGGTCACTGTGGGCCAGCAGCTAAACCCTAAATTCAGGCCAAGCCTCCCTCAGATCCTACTCCCTGGAGTCTTCCCCAAGCCCAACTCTTTCCCAAGGACCAGTGGGGAAGCGTGCTAGAGGACCAGAAGGACTGAATGGCCACCTCACCCCAGATGGCCAGGGCTGCGGACAAGAGCCCTGGTGGCTGAGGCCACGGCAGGCGTGCACTATGTGTCATCAGCTAATTTCCCCAGGACAAGGCCCCAGACAGGCCTCCCACAGAAACCGAGGCTGGCGGGCCCCTGGCTAGCCTGGTGTCTCTCCCTGGGGGCAGCCTGAGCCTGAGCTGAAGGCTGGGTGTAAAGGCTTTGGGAGCCCCAGGGGGACGAAGGCCCTCAACCACACTCCCCTCTCTTCCCCCTCCCCTTTTTCCCTCTTATCCCCCTCCCCACCCCAGGAGAAGCTGGCAGGATTTGTAGGGGCACAGGAGGACCCCAAGTGTTTGCTCAGAGAAGGGAAGAAGACAGCCCACTCCTGTCGCTCACACCAGTGGTATTTTCAGTTTGCAATCTGCCCACGCCACGTGCCTACCCCCAATTCCCCAAAGTTTCATCCAGGATAAAATCCAAGCAACTCCAAAAAGTTCAGAAGGCTGGTTATGAGCCCACCTGGCCCCTGCCTACCTTTCCAGCCTCCCATTCCCTGGCACTTCAAACGCTCCCTGCCTTCCCAGCCCTCGGCCGGGAGCCTCCTTCTCCTTCTCTCTGCCTGGAGCCCCCTGCCCATCCTGCAATTCTCAAGGTCACATCCAAGAGCACACTCAGTCAGAGCCTCCCACAGCCTCCCACTGGGTCCTACAGCACAGAGAAGCTCACAGCGTGGTACCACATTAGATTACACATCAAGCTGTGTGCCTGGTGCAAGTTGCTTAACCTCTCTGAGCCTCAATGTGCTTCTCTGTAAAATGGTGACAATAACCACAGTCTTATGGACTAGATGAGACAATGTGAGCTGCAGACCCATCTGAGCACAACACACTTCATAAATTTTCACTGAACGAGGATGATTGACAGCTGCACCCTTGTCCATATTGCTTTGGCCCAGGTCCTTCTCCAGAAAGCTGGACACCTTGTTCAGCTGGTTCACCTTAAGGGAGGGAAGGTTAAAGTAAAGGAAGGGAGGGTGGAGGGGAGAAGGGTTGGAGTAAGGACCAGAGGCTTGATGGAGGGAGCGACGGCTGCAGGACAGGAAGGGAGGCTGGGGTGGAGGAATGGAGGCTAAGAGGAGAGGCTGGGTGGAGTAGAGGCGGTGGAAGAGAGGGGGGCTGGAGACCAAGGCACCAGTCAGATGGTGGAGGCAAAGCAAGGAATATCTGCTAGACACTCAGCAGGGAGAAGAATGGCCGAGACTCCATCTCCAGATGGAGCCTCCAGGCCAAACCCGTCCTGCAGGGGAGAAGAAGGCAGCCCTGGGATGAAGCCTGGAAGATGATGGACGGCTTTCAGACACAGGGCTTCGGGGCTTCGACAGTCTCTGCTGCTCCTTGGAGCTGGGGCTTGTAATACGGGCTCTTGGGACTTTTTCCTAGTGAGACGGCATCATGTCTCTCTGCTTTATCCGTGATCCTCGCACCATTGCTGCCCTGGAAAGGAGTGCCAGCTTCTGGAAGTCCATGGACCCAGGTGGCCAACCATGCCAGTGTGCCCGGGATGATCCCAGTTTTAGCCCTGAAAGTTCTGTGTCCCAGGAAAACTAGGCAAGTTGGTCACTGACTGGTTTAATTTGCTGAGTTCCCTGGGCTTGGGGAGGGCCTGGCTTAGCACAAAGAAGCCAGCTAATTCTACTCAATAAGATAAGCCTAAAAAGATGGACCCTGGGCTGTAAAGAGTGGCTGTGGATGTAGAAGGGCAGTCAAGGGACCTGGGACCTAATTCTCTGTGCATCCCTTCTGACACTGCTTCTCTCAAAACCTCCTAATCAAAATGAACAACTTAGTACCTGAATGCATCTCCCCACAAGGTGTGTTCCACCACTCACATGTACCCCCGCCTCCGGGACCAACAACAGCCTGTGCCTGGCCCCTGGGCCTGGGCAGGCGTTTGCAATAGAGGAGGGTCCCACCGCCTGCTGCAAAGATTCACAAGTGCACACGCTGGAAGAAGGGATCTGGGCATGGGAAATGGAGTGTGCCCACCCTAGAAATCTCATGGTTGGCATGGTCCATGTGTACACACTCATCCACACACACTTACTTTAACACACTGCAGCTTGGGATCAGGAAAATGGCAAAAATACAGGCACTAAGTCATTTCACATCTGGAGATCTAGGAACACTACCAGGAGACTGCTGGAAGCAAGTCTCAGCTGAGCTGAGCGAGTAACAGGTTGTTTTCACCCTGTAGCACGTCACCAAGCATCGCCTCTGGCTTCAGATTCCCCACTATAAACAGGTCACATAGAAATCTAATCATTACAGTCTTTAAAAGGCACAACCACATAGCAAATAAGTCATTTAACAAAATCAACCGGCACTAACGCACCGAGGGGACGCCCTGCCTCCTGACCACACGCTCCCGTGCCTCCCTGACAATTCCTCGGACACTTCCCACACTTGGCTCCTTCCCTCCTCTCGGGACCAGGTGAGGGTCGGGGTTACCTTTTGGAGAAAGGCCATCCTCGGCCTGTACTGCTGGCCTTGGTGTCGGATTGTCATCCCGGACCCCGGGCGAATTCAGACCCAGGAAACAAATGGGAGAAAATTGGAAAGAGCCCCAATGTACCAGACAGCTGGGCTCGCACGAGCCCTGGGCGTCGAGGGGAGTGGCGCGCAGGGGCACTGCTGCTAGCGGCGCCCCTAGACTCTCCGCACCAACCCCCTTGGGAAGCAGCTGGAATCCGCGCCAGCCAATCAGAGAGGGACTCCGCGAGCTCATTAGCATTAGCTGCGCTTGCGCCCAGCTGCCACCAGGGGGCGGCGTCCGACCCCGCGGGACTCGGAGCCTCAGGTGAGACTCCGCGCGTTTCAGAAACCTGCAGGTGGGAGGGAGCCTTGTAGCCTGGGGCAGTGTTATGGATAGAAATGTGATCGAAATGTGACAAGGCAGCCTCACTAACAAAGCACAGTGGGAAACATCCCAGCTCTGCCTCCAGCCAGCTGGGCGACATTGTGCAAGTTCCTTAAAATCTTTAGGTCTCCATTTCCTTATGTGAAAAGGTAAAAAGAAAAGATCTGGTAATGGCACTCCCCAGAAGGGTTGCTATAATCGTTTAAGGGAGAAATGTGTACCATAGTGCCTGGTCCTCAATAAATGTGTAGGGAAAAATAATCATACGTGGTGCTGTACTGACTGAATAGCAGAGGAACTGGTGAGAGGTTGGTTAAAAAGAAGGAAGTGGAGAAGGATGGGAGGAAGGGGGTAGCCTAACCCCCAGAGTCCTCGGCTAAATTCTAGAAGCCATGCCTTGAGAGAGGGTCCCAAGTGAGGGTCTGAGAGGAGGGTGACCAGGAGACAGAGAGGCCCTCAAACTGCAGCCCAAGCGTCTGGAGAGGAAAAGCCTTGGGAGGAAATGACAGCAGCCCTGCAACACCTGAGAAGCTGTCACCTAGCAGAGTGCTCAGACCTGCAGGCACACGTGCTCCTGAAGGTTCAAGGAGAGCCTCTGGGAGGAAGCTACTGAGAGGCTGCCGTCTTCTCCGCGGGGTGAACGGGCTTCATTGTGAGGGGGAGAGCCCCCAACTCTGGAAGCTTTCAAGCAGAAACTAGGCAACCCCTAGTTGACCTGACACAGGCGATGACTTATGGTGGGGCTGGGACGGGAACCCCGACAGCACGACTGCATAGCAAGCCTTTGAGTCCATGGGATAACGGTGGAACCCCCTTAGTCGTGAGGTACCGCTGTGACGTCTAGTCTGTCATGATCACATGGGAATACATAGCTCTCCCATTGTCCCTTAACTTTTTACCGTATTTTGCTTATTTAGATATGGTGTCCTGACTAGCTTACCCAAGAAGCTTGAGAGTGGACTGCACGCCAAATACAATGAAAGTTGATTGAACTCTTTTCAACATCAACAGTTTTTTTGTTGTTTTTGTTTTTGTTTACGAGCCATGACATGAATGGACAAGTTGTTTCTGAACACTGGTAACCACCCAAATGTTCACCATCAGCTGAATAGATAAAGAAAGTGAGATTTATTCATCAATGAGATACTATTAGCAATAAGAGGTACAAACTACTGGTACACACAAAACATGGATGAATCTCAAAAACAGCAGGTTAGCAAAAGAACCCAGAAGCAGAAGCCACATCCTGTATGAAGTCTGGAGTTCTAGAAGAGATAAAACAAAATTATGGAATAGCAATCTGAACAGTGACTGCCTTTGGTGGCTGAGGGGCTTGAGAGGTGTAGGTCAGGCCTTGAATGGAAAGATAGAAATTTTCTATCATCTTGGTGGGTGAGGAAGTGACACAGGCAAATAAGTTTGTCAAAGCTGATCCAAGTGTTCACTAAAATTTAGGGCATTTCATTGGATGTAAATATACCTCAATGAAAAGATTGTGCAGAAAGCAAACATTACCTTGCAATGGGGCACAGGGACGCAGGACTCAAATCAAATCCTCCCACGCTCACTCATGTAAGTGAATAGTCCACCCACTTTCCTCACCATCATTATTATCCACTAAAGGTTGTGATTCAGGGCCAAAATTTGGCACACGCTGCCCTTGATATTACAACATGCTCTACATGCAACTGGGCCTTGGCCCCTATAGTGTGACATCTCATCCTGGCATAATGTTGGGGTCATCCCCAGAACCTGTTACAGCCCAGGTCTAAGCACCTCCTCGGGAAAATGCCCAGCACCTCTCATCAACTCAACAATTTAGTTCAGGCCACAGGGCAAAATGCTGGGTGTGGTTAGCTGCTGTCAAGTTGGCCGCTGACTCAGGGTGACTCAATGCACAGTTGGAACAAAATGTTTGGTCCTACGTAATCCCATGATCAGCTGTGGATCGGAGTGTTGTGCCCACAGCGTTTACACTAATCGATTTTCAGAATTCAATCACCTTTCTCCCTAGTCTCTCTTCCCCTGGGAGAGCTGCTGAAACCCTGTTCAGCATGACAGCAACACGCAAGCCTACACTGGTAGACGGCTAGTGGCCACACATGAGACACATTGGTGGGAATCCAACCCAGGTCACCTGCATGGAAGGTGAGAATTTTACCACTGAGCCATCACTGCAGAGCCGGGGTACAACACTTAAACAGACATGGTCCCTGCCCTTGGGCCCCTCTCCCAGTCTAGGAGGAGGGACAGAATCATAAGTAGTTCATTTAAATATGATGATGCGTTAGACCTCTTCCTAGCAGAGCCTTCCATGATGTCTACTTCTTATGGAGGTGCAGCAGGATAAGGAAAATACTAAGGGACATCAAAGTCCCTAAGTGGTGAGTTGGTGGTTTGAACCCACCCAGTGGTCCTGTTGTTTAGGAGCTCTGGTAGCCTAAGACACTTGGCTGCTAACCAGAAGGCTGGCAGTTCAA